TAATGCATCAAAAATTTGAGTCTTCATGCATAACCTCCTCCAGTATTGATTGTGTTTTTTTAAAACTTCTTAGAGAACTGGAAAAAGTCGAATTATGAATATAGTGCTTTTTCCTAAATAACAAAAAGTTTTCTCTGTTCGAAGCACCACTAAAAGATGATGATTATCGTAATTTGGATGAAAGATAACCTCTTTCTTAATAGCTGACTATTACCGAACAAAAAGAAAATGAAAAAATGAATTGGAGACAATCGAAATTCCTTCTAAACAAGCTTGATGTCTTTAACCTTCTTGAATGCAGACTTTTTTAAAAGCACTCATGATGTACTTGTCTGATGAGGAGTTCTTTACTATGTGTTTCTGTTAACGGAAAACTGAATTTCCCATTATTTATATCCTCTCATACTATTTCTGAACGTCTCATAACAAGAGCTGAACAAACAACATGATCTACCGTTTAGCTGAAAGAGAGTCAACAAACCTGTACTGTAGTCCACCATAGCGTTAACATTCTGATTTTTAAGAATTGCAAAGGCCAATAAACAAATGATCACGACGAGAATCCCAAGCAAAAGTTGACGAATGAGCATTTCAGTGCTCAAGAAGATCCGTTCACTATGCGTTTTCCTGAAACAAAAACACAGAAAAGTGCATCATTCATTTCTGGGTAATAGAAAGCGGAAGCAGCATTAATTTTTGGCTGACGAGGTAAGGTCATCAAGTGGAAAATAGTTTTTTGACTTAGACTACAATCATTTTATTGTTCATAGCGAATAGTGTAATTGCCTAACTTAGATTGAACCTGTAGGTCTTTTTGAGCCCGAGCTATGAGTCTTATTTTACTTGCTTCTCGAACCATTCTAAGGCATTTCAGAGGAACGAGTGAATTATTTTTTTATTTGAAAACTGTCGTTTGGATAGGTCACATTGTTATCAGAATGTCCCAAAAGTTACTGTCAAACAATATCTTTCCATTTCGAGATAATAAATTCTTTAAGAATTCATATTTTACAAGATAAATTAAAAACATTTGATTAGCATGAAAAATCGATATTTCGAAGAAGCATTCGTTCGAACTGAATTCTGTGGTAAAGCCTAGTAACAATGAGGAATGCCCGTGTGCAAAAATTCAGACTGAAAATACGGCATACGATTTCATTCGGGAAAGCTTTAGAACAGGCCGAAACTTGATCAAAATAATGTTCGTAATTCAACTTCAGAACTCCTGACTTTCAATCGAAGTTACAGCATTACATAACTGACTGTGACTGATATAATAACTACAGTGCCGGCCAAAAAGATAGTTCACATTCGCAAATCTTTTCTTGTGACCAATAGTCAATTAGCATATTAGTTGTAATGTTGGTGAAAGAAATTTTGACAAACTTACGGCTTCTTGATTTTATCCAGCTCTTTCTCATATAGTATTTCCGTTGACATTTCTTATCCCACTGACGATTATCTGCCGCCAGAAACTTTGGAATCAAAGTTCTAATCTTAATATCTAAAATGTATAATGCAAAGCATGCAGGAAATTATAATTTCATTTGAAAAAAATTTGAGTAATGATTTTTGAAAATATTAATGTATGCGATGGTGAAGCCATGATTTTTTAGCCCTGAACCCTTGTCAGGTGAAGCTCTTCTGAAGACTGGATAATCATGGATAATTGAAAGACTCATAGGACTATATTTTCTTTGCTGATCTCTTACAGTTTGGCTGGCCGATATATTTTTTTTTAAAGAATAGTTCAGGTTAACAGGTGGTATCAATATTCCACTAATTTCTTGTAAATAAATTGTCAGTTAAGTTTCGAACAATTTTTAAAAGAATTTCTTCCCTCATACTCCTCAAGTATATATTAAAACAGTTGATGTTAGAGAGCAAATAAGGAAATTAGAATAAAACTATTTTAAAGCTACAAGATATTGAAATTTCTAAACGTTTTTCCTCAAAAGATTTCAATTTTTTTCTGTAGTTTTACAAGCTGAGGAGATTCAGACACAAGCTATGTTTATAGATCAGAAACTGTTCTTTTCTTGTGGCTAAGAATAAAGTCAGTTTTAAAGAAGCTTCATTTTAACTAGACAAAAAAATTTTTCAATGCGTCGAAAATTGAGAAGGTTTTGTTTATTTTTACATTTTATTCATCATGGAAAAATAGAGTAATCAAAGTCTCAAGTATTACTGAAATAGATCATTCAGGTCTGTTTAAATTAAAAGTGAATACTAGCATAAAGAATTCATTATTGATTAATGTATGAAAATTTTCTTGACTATTTTTAACCTTCTTTTCGAAAGCGCAACTTTCACAAAACTCGAAGGAACGATCATATTTATCCAATAGAAAACTTCGTGAAACGAAACAAATATGATCGAGACTGAATGATAGAATCTTCCAACTCTAAAAAAAAAAGTAGCTTATAAGTTTTTTTAATACCTCCTACTGCATAGTAACAAACAAAACAAAGAAGCCTGCTTTTCTAGAAGAAAATTTGGCTATTCTGGAGCTTCCGAATATTATTCTCCTTCATTTATTCAGAATTGCAATTAGACATAAACCGTTCTTAAATTTTTTTGAAGAGCCTTGAATGGAAACCCTTCAAAAGTGGCTTGAGTCATGAACGATGAAAAATGAAAGAGATTTTGACGAGACACTAGCATGAATATTTTATCTAGACCGTTCGATAGTAATGAAACATTGTAAGTAAGTCATACAAATCAAATTACAGAGTTTCTTGATCTATTCATAATGGCTGAAAAGGGCAAAAAAATGAGAAAGCTGACTATGCAAATTGATGAAACTGGTATTATGGAACAAGCTTCGGACCTAAGAAATATGATATATATGGTTGCAGGTAGAGCTGCGAAATGCAAAAGTAATTCATTGCAACTCGAAAAAGTAAATAAACATTTTCTTGGACGTTAGCTTTGGTTTCACGTGTTTTATAGATAACAAACAGTTTATCATCTAGACTGTTTGTACTCAAAAAGAGTATTTCCTCATAACAAAATGTCAAACGACTAGTATAGGAGAATTTCATATGTATACAGATGTGCTGTTGATCATTTGTTAAGCAAGTAGAATTGAAATCCAATCTAACAAAATTTTGGTTGGTCTTTTCACATTCGAATGATTTATTCTTACTTTTTAAAATTCTAACTGCAGCTATATATGTCAAATTTCGTGGGTCCGAAGCTTGCGGCACAATATACCACAATTCCATCAATTCAGGCGCTGCGCTGTGGTGAGCTCTTTCAACGGACCTGTAACACCCCTAAGGGGAATCACAATTCTAAACATTTNTTCGATAGAGCTCGTCGAGCTCTACGAAACTGTATACATTAAAAAAAATTTCAAGCCAGGTTTCTGTGATAAAAAAATTTAAAAAACACTTGGAAAATGCTAGAAATTGTTAAGAAACTCATTTTTTTCATTTGAAAGAAAAATACTCGATTTTTCAAGAAAAATAGCTGTTTTTCATTATTTTCACTAACAGAGACGTTTCGAAATGTAACCATCAGATACAGCGTGAAAAACTGCGTCTAATGATTACATTTCGAAACGTCTCTGTTAGTGAAAATAATGAAAAGCAGCTATTTTTATTGAAAAATCGAGCATTTTTCTTTCAAATGAAAAAAATGAGTTTTTTAACAATTTCTAGCTTTTTCCAAGTGTTTTTTAATTTTTTTATCTCAGAAACCTAGCGTAAAAAATTTCTAATGTATACAGTTTCGTAGAGCTCGACGAGCTCTATCGAATCATATAAAAATATCAAAAGAAAATACTAAAATCCAGTTCTGAATCACTAACGCCTTAGTTTTCTATCCCAAAAAAGCATAAACTTTCTTAAGTTCGACATCAAAAAGGTTTGATAGCTCTTACAATTTAGCATAAAAAAATCCCATTTTCGACGCGCTTTAGTTTGGTATAAAATTAGTTATGTTTGCTATTTGAAATTATACTGTTACCCCCGTGGAAAAAACATTTTTACGCACCCTGTAAGATCTTTTCGAAGTATATTGAATTGATAGAATCAATTAAACTAAATATACTTAGTAATAATTTTTGTCTAGAATTAAATATTGAGTCTGGTTTCAAATAAAGAGTATAAATACAAACCTATAATTTCTATTATACTTTAGATTTTTTGATACCGAAATTATTATTTTGTTCATAACAAATTAATTTTTTCATCAACGAATACAACATTCAATGTCTGACTTTACCTTCATTTGTATTACAGTCAGATGCATAGACACGAGAGTTACCCAGACATATACACAATTCCGTTAAGCATAAAATACACCCAGAAGAACGGATACAGATGGAGTTTTTCTTCTCTGTATGTATTTTGCAACGGCAAATATATGTAAAATTAACAAAAATAAGATTATGTTCTGGTAATTCCAATGTAGATTTCTTTTCAAAATGAATACTTCTAGGATTGATCTGTTCATCTCTCTAACAGAAGAACTTCACTGCTAGATTCATGCAATTTAGTGTAGAGCAAAGCTTTTTCATACTGGAAAAAAGTGCTACACTATCAAAAAATATGAATAAAGTTTGTCTGTCTCATGTTACTGTGTATTGTGCAGCAGAGTTAAAAATCTTTTTCGAATGTATGTATTACAAAAAAGAAAAACAAAAGAAAGATAACAGTAAACTAATGTTATGCTGAAACTACAAGAGTTTGGAAGTTTCATAAATATATTTGATTTGATACCTGCCAACAGAAGTCATGCATATAAAAAGAAAAAGATACGAAATAAATCACTAAAAGTCATTGTAACTAACAAGAGTTTTAGCTATATCTATTGAAATTTTCATTCGAATTCGTTTGACATCAAAATAATGGATGCACAAATTTTCTTTCAAATAGATAAAGTGCAATAAAAAATCGAACGATAAAAGTGACTTGCAGTAATGAAATAACTGAATGAGTCTAGCTACTTTTATCTATCATCATGATATCAATCTTTCTTTACATTAGATAACTGTTAGATTTACCAAGAATACGCTATTGAAATATTTCGCATACTCTTTTGTTAAAAGACATAATTTATCAAATATTCCTTCTATCATTGTCTATGTAAGCTATAGTGTACGCTTCTTCATACACTACAATAAACTTATCTGTTGATTCAATAACTGTGTAAATGCGTTATACTAAAGTAATTAAAGATACTCATGCAAAAGGTGCATCACACTCAAAAACTACACTACACACCAAAATGTACTTGAGTACATGAGATATGGTAATATATCAGATGAATATATGGGTGTATCAAACAATAGACGTTAGGAAATGAGGATGAATGAGGATAACATAGAAGAAGAAGTGAGCGTCGGTGATTAGAACGAATGACTTTACAGAGAGTATTGCCGTAAGACTGTTTATTTTCGCAATTGTGTGTTTTTATTTCTAAAGTATTGCACAGTCGCATTCGTGCAGTTTCTGTTTTGAACATTTAAATTGACAATGAACAATCATAAAAACTACCTTATTTTTATTCCTGCTATAGTGAATGTTTATAGCACTTAAAAAGTTAGTTTAAAATTTTGTCCGTTAGATATTTTTGTGTTGAAAAAATGATTTGAGAATACATTATCGAGTTTTTCACTCATTTCTATATAAATCGAAATTAACTGTTAACATAGCTACAAGTCTTTCTTTCTTATAATGTTTTTTCTGTACATAAAAATCTTGAAGACTCTATCATAGAAAATCGAAGAATAATATTTTTTTACATCGTATTTATTTTCGACGATTATACAATAATGACTACAACGATGATCGTGCAGCATCCAGTGTACAAGTTATGTTTCTAGCAAAGCACTTTTCAGAATTAATGATGTAGATCGATGATGCTGATAAATATGTAAGTAATATACAATTTTGCTGCTTTAATCGCTAAACTTTGATAGTTATAATAGGTTGCCTGTAAATTGTTCCAATACTGTACTTATGTATCTAGAGACGATAGATTTCATTCGATGAATAAATCTTTCTCATTCTTTTCAAGCAAATATATATCCATATCGAAGATTGTGAGAGTATTCCACTAGCTACTAAAAGTGATTTCGAAATCGAATGCTTATCGGTCAATCTCTCTGTTTATCTATTCGAACATATTTAGATTGATGCAACGATAATACACTGTCACGGTTTGTTTCACCGACAAAGCATTAAAAACTATAGTTTTCCATATCAAAATAACTTTTTATGACGCTAAATTAAATATTTATCAGATTTTATTTTGGTATTAAAACTACTTCTTGTTGTCTTGATACCGTTGATTGTTTCATAAGCAGAATAATTAATTACTCATGTCAAATACGGATAGAAAAATAAATAATTTTATTGAACACACCGATTAAAGCAAAAAATTTCAACTTAAAAAATAAGTTTGATTAAAGCACTTGATATTAAAGTCTTGTTGTGGTTAGAGGAATAGCTTAAAAAAAACAAAATTTAAGATTATTGTTATAACAAAATAAACGACGTAGTTTCTTACTTTGTTGATTCTTTTCTCTACGATCAGATAACGTCTCTTCATCTTCACCAGCAAGTTGAACAAATATTTGTTCAAGTGTTGTTTGTGTTACTGAATATGATTCAATTAAGTTTTGTTCTTTTCTTCTATTCAATATTTCAAATACACGTGCCAAATTATAAGGAACTTTGGTTGGATTTCCTTCATCTGATGATGAATATGAAAATGGTACATTACAAAATAGTACTTCATTATGTTGGTCTATTGAAATTATTACATTCTAAAATCATCCATTTGGAAATATTCATCCTACCTTGTATTTCAATTCCTGGTAAATCTGACACTAATTCAGCTTTAACATTATCTACATTATCACCGGCTACTTTTACTTTGACAGCATAACCATTACCAAAACGATGTCTTAAATGTTGTAAATTTCCAAGGCACATAAATTGACCCATTTTCATAATACCAATTTCTAAACATAAAAAAGCTGTTAGAGCAATCTGTGCAGGATTAAAATGTGAAACACGATGTAGCTGCTGTTGCTTTATCACATGAAGCTTACTATATTCTATCTATTTTTGGGAATATGGAACTAGTTCATATATTATCATTAGGAATCAATGCGACCAATCATTTGTGGTCCTGCTTAGAAAAAAAACTATTAGTTCTAGTTTCTCATACTTAGTCATACATGTACTAGCGAAAAATGAAATATCATTCTCTAGCAGGGTCGATGCGCTCGATTTACTATACATGACTTTTAATGTTCTTCCTTTTTGAAGATTTATTACTCTTTTCAATTCACTAATATTTCGTCTATTCTACATGTTTAGGTGTTTGACAAGTCTGTTGTTTACGAAAAAAAAAGAATTAATTTTACTATCAAAATTGTAACAGCAAATATTGAAATGATCATTACTCAATCATCTTTGTCTATATCTAATTATAACGAGTAATTATTGACGTACGATCTTCGATCATAGATCAAGAACGTCTATCGCAATCTGTGACGCATATAGATTGTGCTTACCAAAAATAATATATGAACAAAAAAACGAACTTTGAATTTCAACAACTTACTAGTACATAGAGCTTCACATTCTTCCATACTAAAAATATTTGAAAAACAATTAGATATATTAAAATCAATGCATTATTCTACCTGTGACTTGTCATAATAATTGTCAAACCAACATCACGAGCAGCTCGAATGACTTTCCATAATTTTCGTTTAGCAGCTGCATCCAAACCCTAAAATAATACCATACAATTATTATATTGTCCTATTCTTAAATAAACTCATACTGTTGTTGGTTCATCCAAGAATACTAATGCTGGATTGGCCATGAACGCTAAAGCTGCACTAACCTTTCGTTTATTACCACCACTATAAATATCTTATATAATCAGCGAGTTTTTATTGTCAAAAATCTACCTTAATTTTTGTATTTGTCGATTTTCGTATGTTCCAAGACCAAAGATATCTATCATATTGCTACACATTTCTGGTATTTCCGATGCTTCCACACCTTTTAACCTAAATAAAGCAAAAACTTTGGACATATATTTTGTTGAATACGATTGCCAAGGTTAATGAAACTATTTTAATAATAATGTGCCTAAATTTTTTCGTTTGTTTACCTGGCAAATAAAGTCAATGTTTCTGAAACAGTAAGATCGTGTATGAGCCAATCAAATTGAGGACAGAAACCAATTTCTAAATCACGTTTCTACAACAAAGAGAAAAAAACGATTTCTTCCTTGAAAAAAAATATAGTCATGTATTTACCATTTCATTGATATTTTTTCCATTGATAATTATTTTGCCTGATGTTGACTTAATATCATTTACTAACACACGAAATGTTGTAGTTTTTCCTGCTCCATTCGCTCCTGAGAAAATAAAAAAATGTCTATATTTGATGTCGAATTTTCATAAATCATTCTATACCCAATAGACCAAAACATGCTCGTTTTTGTACATGAAAATTTAAATGATTAACTGCCAGATAATTTTGTTTTTCATTAGATTTTGATTTTCTTTTTTTAAATTGTTTGACAAGATCTTCAACAACAATCACAGATGATGTCTTCGTTTCATTGTCTTGTAAAATTGTTTGACGTTCTTGTCGTACATCTTCGTCTAATAGCTAAAACAAACAAATTTTCAATCTACTAATTTGTTGAAAATTTTTTCATAGAATACTATACAAACTGAGCAGATATCTGATAAGTACCCATATACTGAAATAGTTCTCTGTAGGACACTCAACGAAGTTTCTATGGCATGCGGGTAATAGGGTTCACAGCATACAGCAACATTGAGCTCAGTATATTCACTATGACATGCCTCGTCTTTAATATGTCTCGAGATATATAAAGATTAAGACAAGCAAACAGATTTTATACGTTGCGAATACTACTAAAATGTTTAATTAGTTCCTAACTAAATCTAAGAAGAGATTGTCATTTTCGTATGCTCATAAAATACGCTGCTGAATTGCAATCAAAGTTAATCCAGTGATATGTCATTTTATAGCCGTTTCCGACTGTCAGGATCAGGATTCTAGATTAATACTGAAGGGTGAGCATTTTCCCAAAACGTCCGAGTTTCTACCAGTTTTTTTTTACAGTTTCGTGATAATTTTGAACAGAAATCGAAATTTGAAACCCCAATGAAAATATTTTCTGCAAAAACTTTTAGCTGCTTCCACCATAAGAAACTATGAAGAATCCTGGTTAGAATATTGAGCGGAGTGTTGAAAGCATAACAAAAATTCATACCGAATCGTCCCATTCATCGGTTAACGCTGAATCTAATGAATCATTTTCACAACAACAACAACATCCTTGGCAACGTTGTCGAATTCTAAGACGATTTTCAATCACAATTAAAATTACCCACCAAAATATAATTTGCACAAAAAATATAATAAATTGTGCACCGACACCAGGCCTATTACTTGACATCAATGAATCAGTTGTAGATAATTTAGTACCTATCAATGAATTGTATATAGATATACATCCAGTATTTTCATGTAATTGAATATTAGAAAGAGCCTGTTTTAAATTGACTGTTGGAAGTAAAACAGCAAAAATTGAACGAATAACAGTTACGACTGAATAGACTCCGGTAGGACCTGCTGATGGCGTATCATTTTTAATAAAGACAGGAACAGAATTAGCGACTGCATCGATAACACACATAATAACATTTATAATAAAAAAATTTGTAAAACCCATAATTGATGAATTTGGAATAAATGAAAATACATAGATGAATGGTAATGATGCTAATGTATACATGAAATACATTAGAAAAAAATAGCCTGCTGCTGATGAATTTTGATAAACATGAACTTCAGCATCACTTTTTGGATTCGCTACACCACCAATCTATATAAAATAATATATAACTATTTAATACATGATTTTTTTTTTTTACATACTTTAACAATAATAGTTAAAAGTGATATAAGAATTAAACATAACGAAAAATCAAAAATCCAATTTGAAAACCAATATATTCGTTTTGTTAAATTAGTTAATAATTGAAGATCTTTCGAATGACTTATACGTTCTGTTATTAATGTTAATAAAAGAATAGCAATAAATATTGTTGCCATAACACTATTCAAAAAACTAAATAATGATATTGGAAATACTTCAAAACAATAAAGAACAGCTATAATTTCAGCAAGATAAGATCCAGATTTTGGATTTGTTATGATTGGTTGATTAGTTGTCACAATACTTTTTGATGTTGAATTAGCATAAAATTGATAGAGATTTGTTGCTGCAACACCTAAACTTGTTGGCATGGTATGAAAATTAACTGTTGAAAAATAAGCATTCATTCTTAATGATGGTGATACTGATGTTGCATTATAATATGCTGCAAAACTTAATTGATATTTATTTACAAAAACGTCAGCAGATTCATAATATCTGTCTCTAACATAATTAAGTACATTGTCATCAGAGATATTATCAATAGTAGCACCTGTACTTGTTAAATAATTTAAAAGACGTGTTTGAACATCATTTCCATTACTGTTTGCATATGCAACTATTGTTTGTGCATTATAAATCGATGGAATTAATGTTACTTGAGCATCAGTAACACGTGGATTATTTGAAAGTGATGTTTGAATTTCTTTTGGTGTTGGTACAGCAGAAATAAAAAGTATTTCAGCTATTATTGAAAGTAGAAAAAAACCTAAAAATAAACTGATTTGTCGACGAGAAACATGCCATCGTTTAATTAATAATGCCCATACACGAGTCCAAAATAAATGAAAACCATAAACACGTTCATATTGTTTACGAAAAACTATAAAAGAAATTTGTTTTTTTTTAATGTAATATATATATAGTAATTCGATTACCTTGATCATCTAATTGACGTTTTGTATTTTCTTGAGTTTGATCATTTTCATCTTCTTCTTGAACTAATCTAAATATATTTAAAAGGAAAAAAATTGATTGATTTCTTTATGTTATTTTATATTTACCGAAGAAAAACATCTTCAATAGTTGTCATTGATAAACCATACGAATTAATTCCAATTGTTTGTTTATTTTCATCAAGTGCATTAATTAATCTTTCAATTTGTTTTGATTCATCACGTTTTATACCATAAACAAGTTCAGCAGCTGATTCACGTTCTAATACAACATTACCAACATATTCTTGTATAAATTGTGTTATACGATCAGTAGAACATTGTTCTTGTTTATCCATTAATAATCGATATTCAAATTCTAAAAAAAAAGAAACAAAGAAATTTCAATTTTTAGAATTATTTTAATTTATTCATCTAACCTGTTTGTTGTTTAAGAAAATCTGGTGTACCATTAGCTTGTAATCGACCTCGACTCATAATAGCAATACGATCAGATAAAACATCAGCTTCTTCAAGAAAATGTGTTGTTAATAATACACATTTTCCTGTTAATTTTAATTTTCGTATAATAGCCCAAATAAGACGACGATTATAAGGATCTTGAAATAAAACAAAACAAAAATTATTTATGATTTTTATCTTGATAGAAGAAAAAAAGAAGTTCTTACCAATGCCACTAGTCGGTTCATCAAGAATAATAACCTAAAAATAATAAAAATATAAATAAAATTAATATAATTAATCAATAAACTTTTGGATCATTAATTAAAGATATTCCAATTGATAATCGACGTTTCATTCCACCTGATAAATCTTTTGATAAAGTACTTCGATCATTAGTTAATCCAATTAAATTAAGAATTCTTTCAATCGATTCTTTCATTAATTGTTTATCCATATGACGCATCTAAAACAAACATGATTAATAATATTCAAAAGAAAAAATATATCTATCATACTTTAGCAATTAATTCTAAATGTTCTTCAACAGATAATTCATCGTAAAGAATGTCTAAATAAGAATAAGAAAGTCTTTCTTTTTTTTTTTTTTTTCATTTCAAGAATTTCTGTCTATTACCATATTGTGGACAAAAACCGAGAAAATGTCGAACTTCTTCAATGTGTATTTGATTATCCATTCCTTGAATAGTTACATTACCAGATGTTGGTTTCAACATTCCTTTGAAAAAAAAAATAAATAAATTTCGTTCAATCGAAATTTTCAATAAAAATTAACATGCCAACAAGAATAAATGTTGTAGTTGTTTTTCCTGCACCATTATGTCCTAACAATGTACATACTTCACCAGAGTAAAACTCAAGTGAAAGATTTGAAACAGCTTGAAAATTTCCAAAAGTCTAAAAAATGCAAATAAAAAAAAACATAGAAATTAATGATACGAAAACATTTCTATACTTTAGTTAAATGATCTATTGTCATTGATGGATTTTTTTTCTTCTCAACATGATTCAATTCAATCCAATTATTGTTATTTGGTGTATCATTATGAATTTTACTAAAATTATTTCCAATATCAGCTGGTTGTACTCTTGATGATGTCCAATAAGATTTTCTAAATAAATAATTCCATGGTTGTGAAATACCAAATTCACCAGGATTGACACGTTCAACATAAATAGCAAGAAACATATAAATCACAGAATAGATTAACATAAGCAGAAGACATAGGCCAATATATAATCGATATACAAATATATTTGAATAAAGTTCTCCATATGTGACCATACCACCTAGAAATATTTAATCTAATATTTTCTTCTTATTTCATAAAGTCAACTTACTACTTCGACGTTCATATTGTTCCATAACTTGTATACAAAATAAAAGACCAGCATTTGGAAAAAAACATAGAAAATATCGAAGACCAACTGGTGCACTAGAATAATAATCAATAAATGTTAAAATCCAAATAATCAAACCAATTAATTTTGCTAATAAAGCTAAAATAAAATTTTTGTTTTTTAATTTAAATTAACAACAAATATACGAAATGAAATATTACTTCGTTTAAAAAATTGTCCAAACAAAACAGCAAATGTCGATACTTGAATTGAATAAACAAATAAGACTGTCCAAAGAACTGTCCAATGTGTATAATTAAAAACAGCTTTGCTAGCACTATTCCATGCACTACTTGATCCTTTTAAAGGAACTTTACTCAATCCAGTTGAAATACAAGTTAATATGAAAAAAATAAACATTGATCGTGTTACCCAAACGAGATTATTTACCCAAGTACGAAGACCAAAGATTCGTAAATATTCCTAATAATATTTCAATAAGAGTTTAGTTTTTTAATCAAAATAGGTTTTCATATGTCGTTCAATTTATTTCTCTATCGCCTGATTCAAATAAAAAGTGAATCGCCATTTTTTATATAATTTCTGATAGGAACAATATAGAAACCTGCAATTTTTACCATTCAAACAAGAAAAAACTTCGGACTCATCAAAGTATATCGAAATTTAACTGGACCCTGTTTGACTATCAAATTTTTTTTTTAAAATCGGGCAATAGTTCGATTGTATTAGAATAAAGATACAAGCTTTTTCCAGATTTATGTTCTATTATGACAACTATAATAACTACTACATCAATATCAATTCTTGCTAGATAGTTCCGGAGTTGAATCCGAAAACTTTTGGATGTGACAGACGCTGATTCTTGCTCGGATTAGATTTAAATAAAAAAAAGATAAACTTATTAATTAAGATTTTTCCAACAATGTAAAATCGATACGAAATTTTGTTCGCTCGTCTACTTCAATAGAAATTCATCGAGACAACGATTCATATTCATGCGTAGATAAGATATTTTCATTTCTTTAAAATTTATATTACACATGTTTGACATATTTTTGTCAACAAAATTAATCAAGCATAAGCAAAAAATATGTCTGCATTTTTTAATTATTTATATCAGAAAAAAAATCTGATTAGTTCATTCCAAGAATCAGTAAAGTTTGTATGAGGCAATATCTATCAGCTAACAAATTTTCATTTGAGCTTTAAACAATATGGGAAATTGTTCATGATCACTGTATGTTTCATCAATTAAATGTACAAATAAAAAAGTATGCTTTTTATTGATTAGATTACCGAAAGATTTTAACAAACAAATAATGAAAATTAGCAAATTCATTTTTTTTTAATGTTTCTATTCTTTCTCAGGCTATGTGATTTATGAATAAATAATTAAAAACAAACTATCTATCCTTTGATAGAGCACAATGCCTTCCATTAGTTAATTAAAAAGAAAATCTCATTTGAAAATATGATTATTGAAGAGATTATAAAAAGATAATCTTAAGAACACTATTAAAAGTACAACAAGTTTTCCGATTTCATATTCATGCCAAGAGAATAAGTTCATTTTGTATTAAAACAATGCATTTTCTTCCAAGAAAAAGCAAATACGATTTTAATCTCAGAAAAATACTTGAAATATAATACTATCTCTAATATCATTGTCAAATATCTTTTCTTAGATAATATCGTATATCTATAGAAATGTTTTAATAAGTCGCTAAACAATTATATTTCCGAAAAGAATACTCATGTCAATCTAAAGCATTGTCTACTAAATATAACGAGATACTTTCTCATAATTATTATTATTAATATCCTATGACAGTCCTCTTATTACTATTAAAACGAATACTAAATTGGCTATGTAATCATGATACATATACGAGAGATACGTATGTCGGTAAGCTTTTTTTTTGTATCCTATATCCTGACTGAGAAAACCTTTCCTCTACCTTAACCCTACTTTACTCTGCAGCAGTAATGTGATGCAGAGAAAAGATGAGAAGGGACAAAGAAATTTTTTAAGTACTAAAAAGATGTATTTATAATTTTGTCTGGAAAAAAACTGAAATATTCTAAAAGTGGAAGGTGTACATCTTCTCTGCATCCTTGAAGGGCCACATCCCTGCCATTCAGGATACGATAGAGTAACCTTTTGATATCTCTAATAATTATAGTTTCTGGAGTTAGAAATTTTCAACATTGATATTAAATTTTTATAGAAAAACTCTTAAAGCTTCTATCTTTTTATTGTCTAGTGTTCGGAAATTGCCACATAGGTAAATGCTTGCTCGACACTCATCTTTCCTGGCGATTGAATAAACGTGAAGTTTCGTTAATCGAAAAAGATTCTGCATGAATGATAGAATAGATAAAAACATTTGAATATTTTATTATTAAATAGATTGATAAGCTGTTTATTTTCTATTCCAACTATCGATCAATGTATAGAAAATATCCGAATATCACATATAAAATCGTCATGGTTGAGAAAAAGCAAAATAACCATTATCAACGTACGAAGTCTTTGTTTATTCATAAGAATATTAGAAAATCTTTTTCGAAATGTGATTTCAGCATCGATATCAAAGCCGTAACATAAACGTTTTACTTTTACAGAAAATGTTTATTTTAATCGTACACTTCAAGCTATCTTCAAAAAAAAAAAATGGTCCAATCGTTGGTTTTTTAGGAGTTTTTTGCTTTAGTTGGTAGAAGATCATGTCAAATCGGAAGTAGATTAGATATTTTCTCCAACAACGCATTTCTTTTTCAATTTTAATTTTTTTCTGTCGCTTGATAGAGTTAAACAAGCTGTTGTTTACGCCCTTTTTCTCTCTACGACAGAATCGATGTTTTTTCTTTTTCTTTTTCTTTTAGCGTTATGTAACGAGAAAAAAAAACTTTGAAAAAAAGTACAACAAAGTACGGAAGAAGAATGAAAAGTGCGATCACATAGTTCCTCTTTCATATACATCTGATTTCTTTCATTCAAGATCTTTATTAGTCTATATAAAACTGTCATTAATATGTTATATTTCATTGTTTACCTTAGTTTTGTTCGCACGTTCTTCGACTATGTACCCAACGTTCAAAATAAATGTCACGACATAGATAATAGAATAAAATAATGGAACGAAGAAATTAAAACCCGAATGAAGTTGATCCAAATAAACTTCTGGACAACCAAAATGATACATATAAATCTAAACGATAATTCTTTCAAATAGAAGAAAAAGACATAATAACATAAAGATATAAACTAACACTTGATATACTCTGACTGATACTTGTTGTATATTCAATAATTGATAAATCAATAAAATATTGAACACCTAAAAATTGAGTTGTATAATTAATCGCTGTTTTATTGTCTAAAATAAACAAAGACAATTACTAAAATTCTAAATTTTATTTCTATAAATACCTTGGCAATAATCTTCGGGTGAACGTTTCCAAAAATAATCACTTTCAGAAAGTTTAACCTGTTGAGCACGATAATATGTAAGACCATTTCTATATTCAAAAGTAATCAGATAAAAAAAATCAATAAGAATTTAAAAAAAAAAGAATGCCATACTCTTGCATTCGTAATGTATATTGAACTTGATCTGGTATTGAAGTATAAGTATTACATGAAGCATCGATATTAGTAAAATAAACGTAGGCAAAAATTGTTTCCAATGTCGAATTTGAAAAAGATGATAAAGTCGGATCCGAAATTGATTGAACTTAAATATCGATATTTTATATTAATCAATGTCAAACTTAAATTTTAATAAAATCTTTTAGTGCTTTTCAAAACTTGTATCATATTTTGTTGACAATAAAAATCATTTTTCAAGATTGTGTTCAAGTGACCAGAAGTTAATTATACTGAAGATTTCCTTCTCTTTTTAATAATCATCAAATTTTTCTCTTCAAAACGGAACTACTCAAATCTTGATAGTCGCAAATTTATTCATGTAAACATGTAACTAACTGTGTCTTTCCGTTCTATATGTTTAGTATTTTCGAATTCAATGAAGCACGAAAAACTTGTTTTCACTGTTTAGTTTTCGACAAGACGAACGCATAGTTCTTAACACAATTTAATATCATTATTTATAAACATACCGCTGGTAGGAAAACCAGGAACATTCAGTGCTAAATTGCTAACAGCAGTTCTCACAATTGTATCCGTACATACACTATCTATATTTAAAATATAATTGAAATGTGTAAAATAAATAATAATAGTACAAACTTACAAGGATAATAATATGTTATATTGGCAGTTGTGCTATTACTTAACATTGAGTCATATGGACGGAATGCTGTCATTTGTCGCGCTTGATAATAGCTACGATCGAGAAGATATCTCATAGCAAGTAGAAGAATCAAAAATATATATGCAAGAAGAAATTCTGCTATGGTTTGACCACGTTTACGTTTTGTCAAGAGAAGCATTTTGATGAGAAGAGCCCAATATTCACCAAGAAATTTCATACATCCTCCTTGCCGCTTTCGACTTTCTAGAGAATCCATGATTGTTAAATGCCTATCTAGAAAATACAAAAAGAACTTTTATATAGTTAAAAAAAAAGTACTAGTGTTCTGAGAACGTATGACCTTAGTGTTTTTCTGGTTACACAATCAGTTGTATTATGTTCTTTTTTTTTTCTTTTTCATTCCTGTTCATTTTTTTACATAGGCAAAAATACTCATGTTGATCACATTTCTGTGCAGAAGTGCGAAGAAATATTTTTGTCATGAAAAAGGAAAAAGCAGAAAGGAAAAAACAAGAAGAAAAAACTGTTTGTTGACTGCAGGCAAAATAACTGCTATTCGCACCGTGATTTTTGTTGCAAATCAAATTTATTCTATCATTGTTTACCTTAAATAACACAGCCTACTAGTTTTGTAAACTTGCAATACTAGTAATTTCTTTTGGATTTTCTGTGACATAGAAAACAGTTACCTAATATAAAAAAGTAAACTTTCGCAAAAATAAAAATCAATCAACAAAAAGCGACATTGTTAAATATTTACTTGGCTTCGTTTTATTTTTTTCTATGGTTGTTTTTCAACTACGAAATAATTATTTTTAGAATAAATTCTAATTTTTGTTTCTATTAAAAAGAATACATGTGCCTGATTTTATTACTAGACGGAGTATTCATTTTCATTTATTCATTCATACCCTATATTTAAAGACTTTTTTTTGGTAGAAGCTTGTTAGCACAAACTAAACTTTAATAGAGAACAGTGACGAGCTCTACAACTTCCTAGATTAAACTAGACTTCAATTAAAGTTGCACATAACTTGACATATTAATTTTTATTTTTATCTTTTACGATTTTGAAAACTTTTATATCTTTTAAAAGTTCTGCTTAATTTTGCCTAAATCTAAAATTTGTTACCGGAAATTTTTATGGATTCTATTGAGTAATTATCTCACATTCCTATGATATTCATTTTATTTAAATCGATAATAGATACCACTCTCGCCCAGTAGAAAAAATTATTCAATATTAGAGGACACCCTCATTACAAAATCACCCATAAGAGAAATTTTACAATGCGTAGTAGAAGGCCATAGACTTTCTAAACGTCTTTCTTAGAAATTCAACTAGTTTTATTATTTCTAGCAAAGAAGAATACAAGGTCGTGACCTTTAATTCTGTAGAGGTTTAGTCAAAATACATTTTTTGACCATTCATACTATATTCATTCGTTTTAAATATGTTTTGGTTATAGAGAATCATCAGATAACAACTCGATGCATGCGACACCATTTAGTTATGCAAGCGTTGTTACATTATTGTCTACATGTTTTTCTGCATAAAATCATTTGAATGAGCAATGCAAAGAGATCAAGTGACTCAACATTTGTATTTGCCCTAGTACTTTAGATTTTGTATTAATGACCAGCAGTGATAAAAGAAAAATTCAATTCTGATTTTATGCGATGCAACGATGAATAGTGTAGATAAATAGTCAAATTAGTGTTTATGTCATCGAATAAATTCAATTAATCTGAAGTAGATATCAACGGGTGATAACAATCCGCAGTAGGACTAAACTTTAAAACGATAGTCGAGCGGAATCAAGCCTCAAATGAAAAAATAATGGACTAAACTATAATCGGTTCTGTAAAAGTGTAATGCAGTCGACGAAGCTAAAACGAAACTGAGCTTTTTTCACTTCATAACAGTTGCACTAATTATGTTTATGACGATAGATCACTTCTGTATTGTCATATCCCTTTATTTTTTTACTTTTTTCAATTTCTCCATTTTTTTGTATTGCGTTAAATACCTATCTTTAACCCTGTGAGATCATGCATTAACACTAAAAGAAATCTTGTAACTTTTATACATAAATATTTAAAACTTTATTTTAGTCCATAAGTATATTAAACAGTATTAATTTGCACCAATATCAACTCTAGTGTGACATTCTAATCGTCCAAGAAGAAAGTTCTAAGCTATTGTCTATTCCGGAAAAAAGAAACTGAGTTGTTCGAATCAAACCGAACTCGAACCAATGAAACCCTGTTTGATTCTGTGTCTGGTAGATATTCCATAAAGAATATTTGTAAAATGAAATTAATCAAACTTTGTTTCTTTTCTATTTGTTTGTTGATGAATATAAGTATCAAAATGATTTTATAGTTAGAGAACGAACGAAAAAACGTAAGCTAGTAGTATATGTAACCAGAGATGGACGGGCTGCGGTGTCACACCGCTCCGTCCCGCCCCGCCGGGGAGGGGGGGCGGTGGCGGTGCGTTGCAATATCTCGCGGTTTACCCGCCTCTTGACAATATTGAGGTTTTTTGACATTTTTTTCTTAAATGTTTGTTTTTCTATTTCGAAATTTTATCTTTATATACAGGGTGGCCTATAAATAAAAACATGACGATAAGAAATTTAAATATCTTCATTTCTGTTCATTCAAATGGGCTCATTTTTTGGTTGAGGGTAGAACTCTAATCAAATTTTTTTTTTCATTCGGATAATATAAGTAAATCCTACTGTTAAGTATTTCAGTTGACGTCAAGAAAGCAACTTTACTAGTTGTCAAGTAAGAAAAACACATGAAATATTGTGTAGATGATTTTCAGTTGTCATTTGACAGAATAAATGAAAAAATTCAAATAAATCTCCTGAATGATACTGTATGGATGTACATCGAAAGAAATTTCTCAACCAGTCAATTTGAAAGTTAGCAATTACAATATTTTGAATTTTCAGGCGTGGAACACCGATTTTTGCTGAAAACTTGTCGACTGGGTAACCAAAGGCTTTCAGATACACGTTTTAGTTATCAGACACGAGTTTACAGTATTCAAAGTAGCTAGTTCAGAAAATTTTCTATATGTACAGCAATGTGGTATCATTTAGAAGATTTGATTGAATTTTTTCAAGACATTCTGTCAAATGACAACTGAAAATCATCTACACAATATCTCATGAGTTTTTCTTACTTGACAACTAGTAAAGTTGCTTTCTTGACGTCAACTGAAATACTTAACAGTAGAATTTACTTACATTATCCGAATGAAAAAAAATTTTCAGTAGAGTTCTACTACCAATCAAAAAAATGAGCCCATTTGAATGAACAGAAGTGGAGATATTTAAATTTGGGAAAATTGTCTTTTGATCACCAAAAAAGATACATTTGATCACCAAAATATGTTTGTTGCGAAATGATCACCAAAAAAAGATACATTTGATCACCAAACTAATTAGTGCCACATGATTCATAGAAAATTTACTGTTTATAATTAATAGATGCTGCATTTCTGGGAGATAAAGTGCTATGTTAAATTAAAAGTTACTTAATTGATAACTCATAATTAGTTAGTATTAATCTTATCCAATTAATGATCTCATTAACTAAGAGCTTTTATAAGCGATAGTCTTTCATAACGACACACAACATAAAAAGAGGTCAGCTAAAGAATGGACCTTAATACACACAGCTCAGTCATATGATGAAGTAAGAGATTTCACAAAATCACGGTTTTACGTTTGTCAATATCGGCGATCAGACTTAAATAATCAAATAAATTTTCGTTTAAATGCAGTGAATATAGAAAATATCCATTATATTCTTTTGCAATTAAAGTTGTTGTACCTGATAACAATATGCATTGTGTACCAATTATGTCCAGAAATTCACATGAACATGAAGAAAATGAGCGTAATCCAACAACAGGGTTATCATTACCAATAGGTAAAACCATATCTAATCATGTTAAATGCGGATTATCAAAGTCTCAAATTAAAGCATCATTAAGTACAAATTATCCACAACATTCAATTAATCAAGATAAATTACACAATTTAATAATTTAATAGTTTGTGTTGTATAGGTAGAGGTGTTATTTCGTATACTATCTATTGTTATATTAATAAATTTGGTGATCAAATGTTTCCTTTTGGTGATCATTTCGCAACAAACATATTTTGGTGATCAAATGTATCTTTTTTGGTGATCAAAAATATTCATGCCCTTTAAATTTCTTATCGTCATGTTATTCTTCATAGGTCACCCTATTTTTAAATTATGCCTTTTCATCTCAGGAAATATAATAGTAATTATGAAAAGCTACTGAAAATTTTATGAATAAATGACCTCTGAAAACAGATTTTAGACGTGG